GAAACGACTATAAGTCTCCAGAGACAAAATGGACCAGGATTTTAACCCCCCTCTCTCTCTCTCTCTCTGCTGCCTCTTCTGGTTGAATACTCATCAAGACAATCAAAGGAGAACGCTGAATGAGCCTTTCACTTCCGCCTTTCTTTCCGCTTAATTGTGAGGATTCCACGGGACAATCGGAGACTGAAATGGACATTGGACGATCAAAGACGCGTTTCCTATTGTGAACAACGTTAAAAGTAGAGTAGTTGATCGTTCAACTCTTAGTTTACTCTATGTCGATCGGTGTTTTCAAACTGTTATGGTAAAAGTTGGATGTTTTTAGTGGTGCTACTTTTTATGGAGCAACGTTTGTTCCATTCTGGCACTGAGCTTAAGCGCGCCAGGGGCTTCTTTATCAAATTATAAGCTGTTCGTCCCGGGGCATCAAAGATGCCATGAATGATAAACTTCCATGGCGCTCATCTCCAACTTTTACGAGGCTTCGTTCACGCATTTGCCCGCCGCCGCCGCGGAACACGTAATGGGTCAGTGACAGCGTCGCCTTGTGAAATTGCTGATCGCTCTGCCATCAAGATTTAACGTCTAGCTGCTCTAATGACTCCCGGGAGTAATTCGAAGCAGGCTTGCCCGATGACGAACGCGTCAGACCCTCCGGTAAAATGGTACTTTTCGACATTGGAGGAGCAAACTTTGAATTTCGCTGAGGTAAAGTGATGCGCAGAAATGTATTCGTCCCATGTGGCGTCATTATCGTAACAAACGAGCTACAATCTACCAGTCTCTTCTTTTTTTAACGATTTTTCAAAAACAATTATTTCAGTCAGATCAGTCTCTTTTCCTTGACGTAAATGTACACTTCTTAAAAGTATACTCGCTTCGTGTATGTACATATTTTCCTAAATCGTCCTAATCGCAATTTGCCCCTGTAGATCTTCTAAATCGATAGTACATCGAACAATTTCTCATCTTGGAATATTTTGAATTCGCCGTTACAACAAAAAGGAAGAGAAGAAAGCATTTACGAAGAAAAGCAGCGGCGGAAGATTGTTTAAAATACATGAATATTAATGACTCTCGAACACCTCTGAACGTTTCACGGTAGCAGAGAAACGCGAGGGAAGCCGGCCAAAGAATTTCTAGCGTTTATTATGTGGCAAATTAATTTCGACGTAAAAAAAGGCGGTGCACGTGGATGAAGCGATTATTTTAAAATGTGTTCGAATTAATAGAATCGAAATTCTTCGGGTTTTTCACGAGGAAAAGATAAGAATTTTATCAACTTGTTTTGACTCGAGACACGTGTAATAAGTATACCACTGACCCCTGCATACGTATATTTAAATAACGTTATCAGCGAAACAAGGAGCAATAAATAAATTGTATAACGCAATTACGATAAAGAGAACGGGACTATCGTAGAGGTTACGTGTGCCATATTCCTGTGTTAATTTCCCACCGTCTTCTCTGTGCACCGTAAATCTCGTTAGTCTTCAATTATGGTCAAAGTTTCGAGATATGAAACAGGAATTAGGAGAAGGAGCTATCTACTAGCTAACTAGATCTACTTGGTTAACCAACTGATCACTGAAGATTGATGAATGGCCCCCAACGATAATCAAGCGTCCATGAAGTTCCATCGAATTCAACTCGGATACCATAATTACACGTCATTTTCACACTTCATTTCTAACCAAGTCTCGATGCAACTTGAACCGACTCTCCTAGTTGAAAAGTGTCAACAGGATCACGAACACTCTCCTTGTCAGCTCTTCGAACACGAAACTCCAAGAAACGTGATGACAACTATCCCCATGGTTCGTATTCGGGTTGTAACGCTTAAGACCCAAGGCAGCAATGTGGCCAGAAGGAACATCTGGCCACGCCAGCAAGTTCCAGCAAGACTGATGGCGGAACCGGGTAGGAGGAACTTCTGATCGCCATAGCGGTAAACCGCACGAATCCCGTTCAGTCTTTCGACAAACCTATCTATGGGGATACCAGCTGGTTTCCTCTTCAGAAACGGATCGACAAGTTGGAGCTCGCCGGGTTAGAAGCCACGGCGAATATTAATCCCGTTTCCCCCTTGGTCGACACCACCAGATACTTCCTCCCGTATAAATTTCTCGGCCCCTTCTCGTCGACCTTCCAGGCTGTTATTGCAGTGCAGAAAACGCGACATTTCACGGTTTGGGGCAGTGGATATAAAAATCCACAGAGGCTTTTGTGAACCGAGAGAACGCGAGTTTGACATTACATTTTACGTGGATACTATTGTGCTGGAAACTGAGACGTCGTTCTGATGTTCATTAGAATCTGAAACGTCCTCTTGCAAATTTTTTCTTCTTTTTTCTCACCGTGGATAACAGAGGCTTCCTGTATTTCCCATTCGGAGAAACATTCGAACCGTATAAAGCAACTTATACGTAGTACAGCTCGAATTAAATTATAATTGAGCCATTAAACTTTCGCAAGTGCCGGTACGTGTAATTCTGCTTTACCAGGCCGAATTAACAGGTGACTCGGTATCGATTAGCTGGATCCGGTTCACCGCGAGAACGAGAAATACATGTCCAAAGGAAATGGTGTGTGGGGTGGGGGATATAGGGGTCTATTATTCGTTAATACAAAGGGAGTTCACGATGAATCGAGACAGAGAGGACAGGGAACAAAGGCGTGGCGAATATTTCAAAATTCGACGGAAGAACGAACAGGATGACAGGTGGAAGGCAGGAAGGGATATCGGAATCGGTAAGTTGGTCGCGGTTGCCCCGGAAGATGGTATTAATCAAATGAAACGGTTTCTGTTACAACCAGGGCGAAGACGGGTCTGAGAAGCCTGCCGGTACCCGGGGGATAATCAATCTGGAGAATTAGATCAGATAGCTGGTTGTACGTGCGCCAACTCCGTCTCCTTAAATTTATCCAGTCGCCAAGAAACTTGATAAAGTACGCCGCGTTGCTTCGATATCGAATAAATTCCACGCTTTTCCTTGTCAGACACCGATCGTTTGTGGTTCTCGTCGAATTTATAGTTGAATTTGTCGTGACAGTGACGAGATTGAGCCGTCCACACCTTCTTGACGAATAAGAAAATTCTATTTCTGTGATAATTTATTTTGAAACTGTTATGTCGATGAACTTACTAAGAATTTACATCCTGTAACTGTTTCGTTAGCCACAATAACTTTTTCTCTTGATCTGTACCTAAATTTAGAGGGTTCCACTTAAAATACGTACGTATTTTATGTTCTGTATTACTCGTCTTTCTCCCTTGACAGGTAAAAGCTGTACGAAAATTACGTGAAATAAAGCCAAAATTATAGACGCCAGAATATCGTAGTAAAACGTACAGTGGTCCAATGTCGTTACCTTAACGCGGAGTCTGTGAATCTTTTAATGCAATATTTCGAACCGACGATTTCAACACGGTGAAAAGAGGTACGTAAAAAGAAAGAGAGAACCTCAACCGTCGTGTATTATGAGGGTGAATAATAATAAAAAATAACGTTTCTTCGCTCCCTTTAACACTGTCTTATTTTCACATGACCTCTTTTAAGCGTGATGTACGAGGATAGCTTGGCGCGGTGCTCTCTCAAAACTGCGCTCTGTTTTCATCCTATGTACCTAAGTACGTACGTACGCGGCGGAAATGGAAAAATTCAGAAAGATCCCAGATACAGGGGCCGTGTTCCCGCAAAACGATACCTCTGCACCTTTTTTCACTCTTTCTTTTTGTCGCTCTCTCCCTCTCTCTCTTCTACTGGTTGGAGAGGACGAATCTTTCGTTGTAAGAATTTGCGTACGTAACTGTACAAAACTGGATCCCGTGGGTGTCATTACTGGCTTAAAAGAGAGAAACGTTTGTAGCGAGAAACTGTTCCCCACGCTGTACTTTTTATACGTATTGGAGAGCGGGAAAATCTCCACGGTTCGCATCTGGCAAATAATTTAGCCGAGCATTGAATCGGATTGCAAAATGAATTTCGTACGAGAGAAATTCTTTCTGTGCATGTTTCGAGCGTGTATTTTCCATAAGATTATTTCAAACGTGTATACTATGTAAAAATCGTAGAAAACGAGCTGAAAGCAGAAAGCATCAATTATACAGAGACGATGGACAAGCGTTTCTAGTTTCGTGACCAGAGTCATTCCAAATTCCTTTCGTCCAATTTACCATGACTGGTTGATTAATTTCAAAGACAATTACGAATTCGCGTTTTGCGTGCAATCACAAACTAACGTCGTAAATCGTGGCGTAGGTAAAAGCGAAAGCACGATTAGGGTTAAAATGACGAGGAATAAGGAAGACTTTTATGGGTAGATGAACGTTCGAATTTTATTACAATCTTTTTCTTTTATTTGATTACAAATACAATCGAATCCGTACATTCCATAATACACTCCCACCTAGGGAGAAATGAAAACCTTCCGTTTAGAAATTCCATCGCGATCCCTCTCTATTTCTATTCTCTTTTTTCATTTTGTTCGCGAAATCCTGTACCTGTGGTAATCTCGAAGTACGTAATCCTTGCGGAAAACGAGACTTTTATTGTCTATACAAGCATTTTAGAGCGTATAAAAGGAAATTTAAAGTACATTGTGGGGAAAATGAGGGAGACACAACTGGTGCATTACCTGACCAATTACAACGTACTTATAATATATATATATATGTACCTGTCTTGATAGTGCGCTAAAAACTTAATTAGTGCCGTGCAAAAGTGCGAATATTACGCGACTAAGCACAGCACCGCTTGATGAAATAAAGTCACCGCGACTTTAAATGAATATACATACATTAATTGACTGTATCATGAATACACTCTGCGTAACACTGTATCTTATGGGAATATTAAGAGGAGATTACTTTAGTTTGCTTTATTTTTACGAGAAATAAAATACTGAGGTCGATACATTGTTAACTTTAAAAACAAACTAACTAAGCAATTTACGAAAGCAATTATATATTACAAATTTTACGTTCGATGTAAGGCGCCTAAAACTCTCGTTACACGATAACAGGACGTTTGGTATTTTTTGATTACTCCATTAGCCTATTACTAACATCTCGTTGATTACGCCTAAGACACAATTAAATAGAATTAACGGCAAATTGATTATATAGCGGAATAATAATTACATGCCCTTATGCGTCCTATGTATATAAATATGATCTATTGGAGTCGAGATAAAATAACACCCACTGAAGGAAATACTATTTACCAAAAAATACACTTTCTTATATACTCGATACAAAGGTTGGTTAGTTTGATTTTTAGAAAATTCGCGTGATATTTGAGATTTTTGGAAGAATCAGTAATTTACAATCCTTATTCTTTTTTGTTTTTAATTGTATTCCATATTGTATTTTGTCGCACCCTTTCCTCATCAACTTGCATCGATCTGTTTTACGTTAGCATTACCTTACGATTATTAATACTAGACAAGATATTAAAATCGGGAAATCAGGTATGTCCCGTAAATTTGCAGTCTTTTGTGAATAACGATTATCATTCACAATTTTGATATATCTAAATGCAATATCGGAAAACTTATTAAACACAAGGCTCTACGTAATTTCCGGGGAACAGGCCGGTTATACCATCCATAACCCCCTCCCACCACCCATCGTCATTTTTTTTCAATACATAAATTACAGAGCTTTCCTGGAAGCTCAATTCGTCCTCCTTGTCAGCATAATAATCATAAATTGCAACAACTAGAATGGTAATATTTTGTTATAACTTAATACTACCCAGTGCTGATTCTACTCTCTGAAATAAACTACAGAAACATACCTTTCTCGATGTAATTCTTTGGCACCCAACCAGGTAAATCCTCCTCATCCGGTACAATAGGCATAATAGCGCCGCTAGATTGCGTAGGCCTACCAAATTGTGGATGCTCTTCTTGTTCGGGTGGCGGTGGTGGTGGCAATGGGGGGCTACTTGCACCACTACTTCGGCTCACTTGATGGGATAATCTTTCAGACAAAGTGTGATAGTTAGTAAAATCTAGCGTGTTTCCACTTATACCAACTAACGGCGATGGTGGTGCTAAAAACGAAAATCAGTCTTTATTTTTTGCTATATTATTTTAATTTAATATCAACTGAAAAATTACTCACGAGGCATACTGTTGTGTTGTTCCTGAACATATCCTGCTGTTACACTAGGAGGTGCTGGTGGTGGTGTTTGTGGATGACTTTGCAATGGATGAACTGTTCCTACTTGAGGTGGTGAAGTATGCTGGGATGCTGTGTTTGTATGTGCATTATGATTAGTACTGTGACTTGCATGAGATGTGGTATGTGCATGTAAAGGTAGGGTACTATAACCAGGACCACGTTCTCTTCTAGGATGACCCAATGGGTAATTAGGAGCATAATGACTCGGAACCTGAGGTGGAGCAACTGCAGGTGGTGTCCTATATTCTCGTGACCCTTTACTCAATGTTCCTACACAAACAAAAATTTTATATTAAATAACTAAAAATTATTATAAAACAGAAATATGCATTGAATTCTTTTTGCTTACCAGTTCTTACAGTCTGAGGAGGGGTAGGTGGTTTAGTTGTTGGAGCTGGTCCTACCATAGCAGCACCTAATCCAGAGCCAGTGGAGGCTGCACCTAAACTCTGTACACTACCCTGGCTACCACCACGTTGTTTGCTTCTGGGAGTACCACTACTACGTACTCCATGCCCAATATCATCCAGAATTGTATAATCAATACTTTTCCTCACATATTTAATTGGTTTCTCAGGATTTTGTTAAAACTCCAATTTCTCTTCTAGCTACTTTTTCTTTGTGTATCATAACTGTTTGAGCAATATGGTTCATTTGACTTTCCATTTCTGCAAGTTGGGATGTTTGCAAATCCAGCAATTGTAAAAAATTATAGGCAAGAGTATTTATTTGATATGCTACACTAGCCAATGATTGAGTGGTAAAGTTTTTAGTTTCTTCCAAAGCTATTCTCTTATTCTCTGCTTGAAAATAGTTTGCTTCACAGTAATCAGCAACCCGTTCTAAATTTATATGATTATCAGCCAGGTTGCTCCTTCCCTCAGGAATTTCCTGACCGAGAAATGCTGCTAATTCTGCCATAATTTCAGAGTCACTGCCTACTCCTGATGATACACAATAAGAACCGGATCCTTAAGACAACCAAAGTAACATTTAAAGATTTATGAAAACAAGTTTCTGGTATGCATTATGTGAATGACATTTTGAAATACATTGTGAAATCATTGTATTTTAAATTGATATTATTTACAACGAATATTTCAACAAAATAAAATATAAAATTCACCATAGATAAATAATATACAATATCATAAACCATAAAATTCGTTCGACTTCAAAGAATAAGGTTATGTAACTTTCACAAAAGATCTCAATAAATTTTCCAAACAACAGAAATAAAATTTTCAACACCCCTCTATTAATTGTATTTTATTTGAAATAAGAACATGAGAAAGTGATAAATAATAACTATTTGCAAAGGGCGGTGTCTTGCATGCAGAAAATAAAATGGAGGCGAAACACAACGACTCGAATGTATTGTGGAAAATGAAATGTCAATACGATAAATGATATGAAAAAATAGAAAATGAACTAACGGTATTCAGCCATATCGTAACTACCAGCTATTACACCTTCATTAATTCATAATTACCAAGAATCTCGAAAATTGAGCGAAAATAAATAACGAATTACGTTACGCGACACGGCGCTCAATATGAGCGAGTAAAACGTATGCACCGAAACACTACTGGACGGCGTTTATCGGAATTTCCTCGCGGTTACGCATAAATGCTTTTGAATTAGGTTAAACTTGAAACAAGAACAGAATAGCTATACAAACGACAGACAAAGACATATTAAACGATACGAATGAGAAATAACGAATACATGAATGAGAAAGAAAACTATCTCGACAAGAACGTGTTGAAAGAAGGGAAGGATGACGGGTACTCTGAAACCTCGTGGGGATAGATTACACCTTCGAAATATAGAACAATATTACAAAGCAGAGCAATTATATTATAAATTAACAAATTCTAACAAATAAAACAAATATTCATTATAATTATTACATTAGATGTTAACATTATAAAATACAACGTGTCCAGATCTATGTATGTTAGATTGTCGCATGTCGAACCTCAGGAATTTCCTGACCGAGAAATGCTGCTAATTCTGCCATAATTTCAGAGTCACTGCCTACTCCTGATGATACACAATAAGAACCGGATCCTTAAGACAACCAAAGTAACATTTAAAGATTTATGAAAACAAGTTTCTGGTATGCATTATGTGAATGACATTTTGAAATACATTGTGAAATCATTGTATTTTAAATTGATATTATTTACAACGAATATTTCAACAAAATAAAATATAAAATTCACCATAGATAAATAATATACAATATCATAAACCATAAAATTCGTTCGACTTCAAAGAATAAGGTTATGTAACTTTCACAAAAGATCTCAATAAATTTTCCAAACAACAGAAATAAAATTTTCAACACCCCTCTATTAATTGTATTTTATTTGAAATAAGAACATGAGAAAGTGATAAATAATAACTATTTGCAAAGGGCGGTGTCTTGCATGCAGAAAATAAAATGGAGGCGAAACACAACGACTCGAATGTATTGTGGAAAATGAAATGTCAATACGATAAATGATATGAAAAAATAGAAAATGAACTAACGGTATTCAGCCATATCGTAACTACCAGCTATTACACCTTCATTAATTCATAATTACCAAGAATCTCGAAAATTGAGCGAAAATAAATAACGAATTACGTTACGCGACACGGCGCTCAATATGAGCGAGTAAAACGTATGCACCGAAACACTACTGGACGGCGTTTATCGGAATTTCCTCGCGGTTACGCATAAATGCTTTTGAATTAGGTTAAACTTGAAACAAGAACAGAATAGCTATACAAACGACAGACAAAGACATATTAAACGATACGAATGAGAAATAACGAATACATGAATGAGAAAGAAAACTATCTCGACAAGAACGTGTTGAAAGAAGGGAAGGATGACGGGTACTCTGAAACCTCGTGGGGATAGATTACACCTTCGAAATATAGAACAATATTACAAAGCAGAGCAATTATATTATAAATTAACAAATTCTAACAAATAAAACAAATATTCATTATAATTATTACATTAGATGTTAACATTATAAAATACAACGTGTCCAGATCTATGTATGTTAGATTGTCGCATGTCGAATGCGCACTATACACTCGATGCATTACGTTGTTATTAAATCCGAACTGACTCCGATCAAAAGTTTGATTTGTGTACTGTTTCATTGATTACGAACGTCGGGTTCGACCAAAGTGCTATTATTTATTAACAATTCGGAAAATGACATTTTCTGCGTACATGTGCGAAACTAGTAAATTATTGCGAAAAAATTAATTCGCGAGGAGGCAATCGTTATCTCTTATTCGACTTCTCCACAGGCACGGTAAAAATGAATAATCTTTTGAAAAAATTAGAAACTCTAAAAATTTCGGGCGATTTTTCCGATGATGGTTTATGGGCAGCATGCATTGATCTCGTACAAAAGAGTTATGTCCCTGAGAAAACCGTCGCTGCTAATCGCCCATGCGAGGAGAGAGACTTCAGAGAATACAGGCAAATAATAGATAGAAATTTGCGAAATATCAGATCTATGCTTCAGCATGTCTTTCACAGTCGTAATGAAGGAAATGTGCAAATATACTTAAATACACCAGCAGTAAAAACCTTTACCATCAATTTATTAGTACTTATTGGAGAACACCATGAGAAAAATGTTTGGAATACTGCAGAATCTGTGTCTATTTCCAAAGAATTAATTAATGAAATTTTGGAATTGCACAGATCTGAAAGCATCTTACAGCTTTTAATGGAGCAAGATAATTTTATTACAGTATTGTTAACACTAAGGCCTAAATTATTAAAGAATACTTGGAAAGCTTACCCAGCAGCCGTAGCATGTTACAAATGGATTTTGTATCAAATTGAGGTTGGTAGAATAGATTAAAGGAATAAAAATTATGAATTTAATATA